TTTTTTTTTTTTTTCTCTCTCTCTCTCTCTCTCTTTCTAGGAAGAAAAAGAAAAACAACTAACAGCATCTGCATACACTTGAATGATGTGTGGAGGTCTCGGGGCAAAAGGAAGGTTCTCGGGGTCCCGTCGGGATTCTTTTGGGATATTGAAAAGCCAGGGTCGGCATAGGCGTTCAGTTGGCGTCCTGGGGCGAGGGTAATTCCAGCTGGAAGCAAGCGCTTTGAGCGCTTTCAATGAGCAGGGATTTTGCATGCTTTCTGCGAGCAACAGTGTTTGCCTTCGGCGTGTCGGCGCTGCGTTGGCGGGGCCGCATGGCCGACCGCCTCGAACTCAGGGGCCGGATGGGGGGTGGGGGCGAGGGGGGCTCCTGGCGGATTGAATTTGTCAATCCCGTCCTGTTCCCCAAGTTTCGGTCTTTGGGGGCCGTGTTCAGATTCGCCGATCCTTGGTCGACGTCGCCTGGCTCGCATGCGATCGCAAGCGTGCAATTGCGTTCCGAGGCTTATTGTGAGACTCGCATGTATACCATGGGGTGTGATGTAGCGTGATGTTCCCCATGTTGCGGGCCTATATTTTTGCAGAGCGTTTGCATTGCCGTGAGAATGTGTGAACCTATGCGGTTGTTTTTGGTGATTACCTTTGGATGTTTGCCAGCGTGCCCAGCCCAGTGTGTTGTGCTTGAGTTTCATATCGCCCAACTACCGCCCACAGGGTGACTGCTGCAAATCAGCACACTCAGCGGCACAATCCGAGACCGACCCTCGCCGATCAACGATTCAGGCACTCGATGGGAGGCGGGGGTAGGGCTCGGAATTTGTCAGACACGTTGCGAAATCCGAAACCTGCCCACGTCTCCCATCGATCCAAGAGAACCGATGGTTGGTGGGGGTAGGGTTCGGATGTCGCCACCTAGATGCCTCTATCCAAAGCAATTCGCTCGTTGCAGAGTCGGTCTTGACATCGCCATCGCAATCATGGCATGTGTTTTACAACGCCCACGGTGTCGCAACCGGAAAGGGCTGGTCACATCTGTTTGCGATCGGCGCCAGTTGGTTTTCCGTCGGCCCCTTGTGGTTGCGATTGGTCGCATTCGCGAGCAGGGGCTACAAGGGGGGTAAGGGGAGGTTGTGAAAGGAGGATGGGGACGGGCGCGGCAGGAATGGTTGAACGGAATGGAGGGGGAGAGGCAGGGGGAATGCGGGGGAGGCAGGACGGATATAGGAGATAGTTGGATGATGGTGATGATGATGTTGATGATGATAGAGATGATCATGGTTATGATGATGGTTGACATGAGGATGAGGATGGGGATGAGGATGAGGATGAGGATATGGATGAAGATGAGGATGAGGATGATGTTGATGATGATGATGACGAGGCTGATGAGCATGTTGATAATCATGATGATGATGATGCTGATGATGATGATGATGATGACGGGTTTGGATGATGAGGGTGGGTGATGATGGTGAGGATGAGGAGGATGAGGGTGGATGATGATGATGATGAGGAGGAGGAGGATGAGGGTGATGATTATGATGAGGATGAAAAGGAGGATGAGGATGGGATTGGGATGGGGATTATGATGATGTTGATGATGATGATGATGATGGGGATGAGGAGGAGGAGAAGGATGACGAGGACGGTGCTGCTGATGATGATTATGATGATGATGACGACACTGATGATGATGATGATGATGATGATGATGATGATGATGATGATGATGATGATGATGATGATGATGCTGACGACGACGATGATGACGATGACGGTGTTGGTGGTGGTGGTTAGGCGGAGGAGGTGGAAGTGGAGGAGGAGGAGGAGGAGGGGGTGGAGGAGGGGGTGGAGGAGGAGGAGGACGAGGGGGTGGGACGGGGAAGGAGGGAGGCCGATGACGGCAGGCGGGAGTAGGGGACGGTGGATTAAAGAGGAGGGCAGAAACAGGATGTTTGAGGTGTGAGACAGATAGACAGCGTGGTGGCGGTAAGCCCGAACGTGGTTCTCTCCTTTGCCCCTTCCAGGCGCCAAAGCTCTTCCGTGCCCGTTGTTCGCGTTTTGGTCGTCCGCGGGCAGCCCTTTTCGGCTCCGGGGCGATGTAGGGCGAGTCCTTTCCGCTCCTTCTCCTTCTCCTCCTCCGCGCTTCTCCTCCTCGTACGCCCCTGTGCTCCTTATTCGCCCTCCTCCCTGCTGCCTGCTGCCTGCTCCATCCGCCGCCACCACTTCAGACGCGGGAAGTGCGGCCTCGCACTTACGCCTCGTCTCTACTCCAGGGATGTTGGCTTTGGCCGCGCGCGTCAAGGCGCGCGAGGAGGCATCAGCGCCACCCCATATCATATGTAAGATGGCTTGTTACGTTCAGCCTTGAGGTCGCCGAGGAAAAGCCTGCTCCAGCCTCCCCGTCCCCCGTCTCCACCCTCCGTCCGCCTCCCTTCTCCTCTTCCTCGTCGGCCCCTGTTCTCCTTCTCCTTCCTTTCGGCTGCGTGCAGGAGGGGGGTTGGGGGAGATGGGAAGGCTTCTCAGAAACACTCCTGCTCTTCTTAGAAGGCGCGGTCCTTGTCGATATATGTAATTAAGGCCGGCGCCGTCTGAGAAGCAGTCTCCTTCGAAGAGGCCTTCCCATTTTCCTCTACACTGCTCTCATTTATATTCCCCTGGGTGGGTATATGTGCGGCCGCTTTTGCGCTGGCATTTGTGTGCATGTGCCTAGCATGCGCGGGCCTTTTGAGTTGGATGCCTTATTGTACAGGCGCGCCCCGGCATTTGCAGGGTCATTTGCGCTGTGTTTGGTGCATCGTTTGTTTGGACATGCCCGCACATGCCGGCACATGCAGAGTTCCCTGGGGTTTCATAGAATTTCCCATAGTTTCTTGCGGCCACAAAGGGATCCAGTGCCATACATGTTGAGAGAGCTTGCGCGCTTGACTCGCCCACTGCCGATGGGAGCGCGTCAAGTCTATGTGTGTTCACCCTTTGTCGTCGTCCAGAGGCCGCGCAGAGCTTGTTGGCATGCCCTGTTGAAATCACTTCCCCGCGCGCCTGCTCGGCTCTGCCAGAGGAGCAGGAGGTCGAGGGGGATGAGGAGGGGAGGAAGGAACTCAGATGGAAAGGGAGGCGAGTAGAAGGAGGAAGAGGATGAGCAGGCGCTCGCAACTCGCATTTCGGACCGAATGTTGGTGAAGAGCACCCAAGAGAGGGCGAGGAGAAGGAGGTCGAGGAAGAGTAGGCCCGTTTCACCTGAGACACCCTCAGAACTCAGGGCTCCGACATGTTTTGACTTGAGGTGAATTTCCCCGATTCGTTCGGGATGTCCCTACAACTCTGGGTTCCAAGATGCGATTCTCGAAGTGCTCCAGCCGGTTTTGCGTGAGGTATCCTCAGAATTCAGGGCTCCGAGATGCCCTGACTTGGTGAAAGTTGGCCCGTTTCGCTTCGGACATTCCCAAAGACCTGGGTTCCAAGATGCGGTTCTTGAAATGGTCCGGCTCGTTTCGCGTGAGACATCCTCGGAGTTCGAGGCTCCGAGATACATTGATTCGAGGCGATCTGCCCGGGCTTGCTTGAAACATCCTCATCATTCTGGGTCCCAGGATGTGGTTCTTGAGTGTTCCGGCCTGTCTCGCGCGAGACACCCTCGGAGTTCTGGGCTTCGAGACGTGGGGATTCAAGAGATCCCGTATGACCCTCCTGGGAATGCACAGGGTCGTCCGCCATCTTTACAGCATGACCGCGTGCCTGGGTCGGCCACCGGCGAGCTCGGCCTGTGCAAATGTTGTGCGGGGTTGTGCGGGGCATGTGTGGGACGTGCAAGAATGCCAGTGCCAGCCAGGCCGGGCGCGAGCTCGAATCACTCGGCGCGCCGATCATGCCCTGCGCAAGCGCGCAGCGTTTGCGGAGCCCGCATTTGCCACCAGGAACGGAACGCCGGAGCAGTGGACTAGCCATTTTTGCCTGAGACATCCTCGCAACTCTGACCCTGGAAATGCTTTGAGCTGAGGTGGTCAGGCCACTGTTGCCTGAGACACCCTCGCAACTCTGACCTCGGAGATACCCTGCCCCATGGTGGTCCAGCCACTTTTGCCTGGGACATCCTCGCAACTCTGGGTTCAGAGATTGTGGATGGCCTGAGCTGAGGTGGTCAGGCCATTTTCGCCTGAGCCATCCTCGCGACTTTGACTTCGGAGATGCCCTGCCACATTGTGGTCCAGCCATTTTTCTCCTCAGACATCCTCGCAACTCTGGGTTCAGAGGTTGGCTCTTCCAGGGAGCACAAGGCACCGGCACCGATTGACACATTGTGATACCTTGAGGAGTCGTGAAACAGATGGGAACTCAGAGAAAAGAGAGCCCTGCGAATTATCCAGGTTTGGATGTATTTTCGCAGTGTTTTTTGACAGAGATAGTTGGCCTGCGCGCAGCAAGCAATATGCTGGCACCCCCGCCGTCCCTATCAAAAACCAACGCGAAGTGGTCGCGGGGCGCCCGCGCATGCGCCAGATTTGGAGGCAAAGTGCATTTTGTGTTGTTCCAGGGACGGCGGTGCGGGGCTCATTGGTCCGTGTTGCCTACCAGTCGCCCGGAGAAGGGGGTGATTATAAGTAGAGAACAGTGATAAGTCTTATTAATAGGGAACAGTGATAAGCCCCTCCCCGAAGGGGAAGCAGGGGCGTTGGAAGAGGAAACTCCCAAAACCACTCACGCTCTAAAGGGCGACTCTCTTCGGCAAAGCCGCTGCAATTTTGGCAAAGCCGCGGCGTGACTCTCTTCGGGGTCCTGGCCCGCCCGCGCTGCCCGCGGTCGTAGGGAGACTTAGGCACGGCAGGGCAGTTTTCCCACCGTTTCCAGATATTTGGCTTCCGATTTCGAAAACAGTGAATCAAACCCGAACGGACAAACGGCGCGGCCATCGAGGCGACGCCAGGACTCCTCGTCTTCCTTCACCTCCACATCCCGCCCCCCCCCCCCCCCCCTATCCTTTCCGTCGGGCCCGCGCGACCATGGCCGATGGTGGGCAGCCGTTCGGGCAGGTGCAGCGCCTAACCCTGAGCTTCGGCCCCGGTAGGCCCCGCACCGACGACCTCACGGGTAAGTACGCGGCGCGGATCGCGGACACGTCCCTGTCGGAGAGGGCGAGGGAGGGGGCCGTCCTTTTCCAGGTGGGCGGCGCCCAGCCTGAGCCAATAGCGTGCAGAAGTTTCCTAAGGCTACCCCCCTGCATGATTGGTTCCTTCGGCACAGTCTTGTCCAACTTGCTGGTCGTGCGCGCCGGTAAAGCTGTGTACGCGTGCACGTTCGAGGGCCCTAGCTTCATCGGTACCCTTGCTTCTGCGTGGACATTCAAATCAGGGGCAACTTTTGGGTGGTAGGCTCAGGGAGAACGCATCGACTTCCGATCGCCTTTTCATCGCCCATGGGGGCCCAAGACTTCAGAGCCTACCTCGCCCAGGACCGTGCGCACTGGCTGTCGGGGGCCTATCGCCGAATATCGCCGATTCCAACTCCATGTTTCCCCCCGGAGCCTGTCCACCCCCGACTTTGCTTCGCACGCGTGCACGCGTGCAGTCGTTGCCTCTTCTCCACTGCGCGACGCGTCAGCGGCCTGCGCGAAACGTGCACGTTCGCGCGTGAGCTACCCGCGCCATGCCGCGCGCGAACGCTGTCTCTTTCCACGCAAGCCACGCGCACGCCACGCGTAAGCCACTGCGCCCTCTCTTGAGTCGGACGACGGTCAAGACCACATTGTGCGGGGGGGGGCAGGAGTAGGGGGGGAATGCTCATTTCGGCGCTTCGGGCGTGTTTGATGGTTCCCGGTGGTTTTCCAGCCTGGGGGGAAGCTCTCCAGCAGCTGCGCCTCGCCGAGAGCGTTCCAGGAGTGCCCAGGTCGTTCCGATCGGCCGCGGGAGACCCGAGTCACGACCCGCAAACACGACGGCGAGGATCGGGGATGGGCCCAGGGGGGAATGCGTCGGCCCCCAATCGCCCACTGATCGCCATATGTGCTTGGCAGCTGACATACCCCGTCCAGGAAAGTGCAGATCCGCTATCGGGGGCCTGTCGCCAGTCCACTCTCGTTGCCCCTCAGAAGGCTGAGGGGGGTGGGGGGGAGTGAGAGAGGGCAGGGTACGAAACCAGCTGCATGCAACGGGTTTGGGCCCCGCCGCTCGGCGCCTTCCGTGGATTCATTGACCGCCTCCGGCGCCAGGAGGCGCCAGAGGAACACCAGTTGCGTGAGTTGCTTCGTTTGCCCCCCCCCCGCCTTTCCGCGACTCGAGGCAGAGCTCAAAGCGGCGCTGTTCACCGGTGCGCCGTGCAGGCGCCTGACATACGTGACCTGACCTGACCCTTTGCTATCCCTCCCTGTCTTCGCCGGCAAAGACCAGTATGAAGTAAACTGTTCCACGATAGGGGACGCCTGCCCCTGGGCGGCTCGAAAGTTTCGGCTCGAAAGTTTAGACCCCGACGGTGGCAGGTCGAAGTATAAACATTCTGGCCGCCATGGGGCAGGCGTTCTCGACGGCGGAAATGTTTATGTTGTACGGTTCGTTGTCCGGCTCTTGCAAGAGGCGCTCTTCGGACGGGGTTAGGGGACGAGTATAAATCCGTCCGGGAGCGTTCCAGAAAGCTCTCATGGCGTTCCGGAACGCTTTGAGAAGGCCGCGGCGTCTGAGATTAGCTCCAGACCGCTGGATTTCAGGCATTCTCGATATATCATCATCCGGTGTTATCTTAGCCTGGCTTCGTCTTAGCTCTTCTCGTCCTGGCTTCGTCATAGCTCTTCTCCTCTGCGTTCGCGCAGGTGGCGGAGGCCCACCTGGAGGAGGAGGAGGCCTCCGCGGCGCTGCACGCCGCGGAGGGTGTGGTGGGGATCTTCCGCGAGGTAGGCTGAACGAAAGTGTACCGCAGGTTCGTGTCGTGTCGACGCCAGGGCTCGAGCTAAACGGTGTTTGGGCAATTTCGTGGGCCGTTGTCGTTTCGATTTCGTTTTGCAGCAAAGGTGGAACGAAGACAGAAAGGGGGATAACGAAAACGAGCCTAAAACGGAAAACACTGTTTAGCTCGAGCCTTGGTCAACGCGGCGGCAACCGTACGGTAGGTTCCCACTCCGCCGACGAAGAATCCTTTTTAATCGCGACGTGTTTCGTTCGTTTCGGCATCTAGGGCCCGTTATCAGGCTCCGACATCGTCAAACACAATGCGGGACGCACAATTGATCCGGGGAAGGGGTCGGGAGCCATGTGGCGCGGATAATTCAAATTATATCGTTGGATTTCGGAGGGTTACGGCAGGTTCGTGCGTGATGACGCGGCGGCGAAATCAACGCGGCCGTTCAAGTTTGAACGCCGCCAGTGGCAGATACTCTACCATTAAGGAATGACCTGGTTATCGAAGAGTTGCCCGTCGTTCAAGGTTGAACGATCCAGCGCGCGCAGGCTCGCGCGCTGAGCGGCCAGCTAGTTTGGCGCGACCGAAGCGGCCGCGGTGGCGCTGACCGCTGGGCACCTCCCAGCGCGTCTCGCAGGCCACGCTGACGCGCGGGCGCTTCAATCATTAAAGTTCAATGCGAACCGGTGGTTGTGGCAGGCGCGGTACCACTGCGACGCTAACAACCTCAGACTCCATGGTGATGATGGTAGCGACGATAGCGACGAAAATGGCGATGATTATGACGATGACGACGGCACGGCCAGTGACGGCGCCGATACTTGTCACGCGGATGACGATGGTGTCCCTGCGTCGGTGCTAAAGATTCTGGAAGGAGTTCGGCACGCGCGCGCGAAAGGCCCCAGTGGTTGCATATGGTGAAACTGGGGAAAACCTGGGAAGCTCGCAGACAATAAAATGCAAGAGCGCGCGCAGATGCTGTTTGAACAGTGTTTTGCAGCATTTGTATTTATGCATGTACATATTTTTATATTATATATAATATATATATATATATATATATATATGTATGCGTGTATCTATACATACATAGTTATGTATATATATATGTGTATGTATATACAAATGCACGTAATATATACATATATGCATATATATGTATGTTTATACATATGTATATATTATCCGGGAACCTCTATGTCGAAACTCGTTTTATGTGTCATGGTTGTTGGAGTTGTTTGGCAGGTTTGCCCGACAACGCGCGCGTATCGATGTGATCTCATTTGTTGCAAGGGATGGTTGGCACATGCTAGCTTGTGACAGGGATTCTGTTGACAGGGATGAAAAAGGGGGTTCGATGCTGGCTGTCTGGGCTGGGGGCAGAATCGCATGGAACTTTTACCTTCCCAGGGGATATCTCTATTTTGTTGACGCTTCGCGTCGCCCCACCAGTACATTTAGAAACGATGCCCAGGCGAGTTGAGGTGATCAGGGAAGTGGGGGAGCATGCAGAATAACGAAGGGCGGAGGAAGCCGTCCGATACCCCAAGAGGGTGAGGATGGTGGAGGAGAACGAGGAGGAGGAGGAGGAAAAGGAGGAGGAGGGTGAACATGAGGAAAGAGGAAGAGACAATGGACAAGGAGGAGGAGGAGGAAGAGGAGGATGAGGAGGAAGAGGAGGAGAAGGGGCGTCTTGGCGAGCCCAGGGCCGTCTTTAAGCGTCTTGGGTGCCTCCAGGGCCCTCTTGAAGTCCATGGGTGGCCTCTTGCGAGCCTCTCGGAGGCATCCTGGGCGCCTCTTGGGACCGTCTGGGCGCCTCTTGGGGCCATCTTGGGGCGCTCTTGGGAGCCTTAGGAGCGCTCTTGGGGCCATCTTGGAGGCGATCGATCAAAGAAGAGAGGTTCCCTAATTCGCCCTCCCCCTTTTGGGGAACCACCACAATTTCCTATTAGGGGGCGCTTGGAAGGTGCTCTTGGGCGCTTTGGGAGCCGTCTTGGGGCTCTTTTGGGTCTCTCCTGGGGCCCTCTTGGGCCATCTTGGAGCAATCTTGAGGCCTCGGATGGCCATCGGAAGCGAAAGGGCGAGAAATCACAAATCATTGATTTGCCTCAGGTTTTTCATGACTTTCGGCTTCTTGGGGGCCTCCTTGGAGGCCTCGGAGGCCTCTTGGAGCCGTCTTGGAACGTTCTTGGGGCCTCTTGGAGCATCTTGGGGGCCATCTTGAGGCATCGCGCGCTATCTTGAGCCATCTTGGAGCTCACCTGGGACTTTCAGGGGTCCTCTTGGAGCCGTTTTGGGCCATCTCCGGCGCTCCAACGCCTCGCCCCCCCCCCCCCCCCCCCTCCAGGCAAAGGGGTTGGGGGGGTGGGTCAAGGGTCCTCCTCCCCGCTCGCAAGCCGTTTCGCTCACTCCCACCCGTCGTCCCAACAGATACGTAGCACCCGAGCCTGGCCCGAACCGCAGCACATGCAGCACTCGTCTTTGGATACTCTAAAGTGGGTTGGGGACACAGGTGAGTGGAAGTGAACGTGTGCCCGCGGCCGCTTGGCTCAAAGCGGCCGGCCGCCTAAATCTGACTACACCTCAGCGCGAGGTGTACCATTCGCCATCGATGAGAGATGGCCCGTCGCTCCCGCGACGACCTACTACTGGGACTCTCGCTGCTACGATACAACAGAGTTGGAGCTGGGCTTCGCCTAAGGCGAAGCTGCTGGTTGGGCCTCCCAACCCCTTTCAAATTTGGTAGCGGAACTGGCCTATGGTGGTCAGCTCTTGATCTACTCCTCACCATCCACGGCACTATTTGGTGATCTACTGACGTGGTGGAACATCAGGGTTCAGTGGGCTTGCGCGGAGGAGTGTATATAACTACGCAACATAGCAAGGACACCTGCAGTGATACATCTGCCTACGCAGAGGCCTCTTACTCGCGTCCTACACCCCTGCGCTACTACACTCCTGAAGTCCACCCACCAACTCCAATTGGAAACTTCTTCGAATACATAATGCATGGGGGCATGCAATACGACATTGTGCCGCCTCCACCCCCCCCGCAAGCTTGCGACCGTACACCGCAACCCCCAACCAACCACGGCCGACTACGACCTGCGAGGCCACTGGATTGGCATAGCTATCTTTGGGTTCGCATGGGTTGCAATTGGGCGCGCGGTGAAACATATGCGTGGCGGAGACGATGCAAGAACGACCAGCCCCCGTTGGGACCCGTCTGGTCAAGTATCTTTCCGCGAGTTCGCTCGCGAGGCGCATGCCTGGATCAACGTGGCCACAGGCAACGCGACGCCCCCCCCCCCCCCCCCCCCCAACAAAAAAAAAACAAGCTGCAGCCTTGCAGCGAGACTTGGGGGGCCTCGCACGGACCATAGCCATGGGAGTTCCCCCGGCAGTTATCAATTTCGGCGTTAACATAGGTGGCCGCCATGCCGATGGCGTCACCTACAGCATGTTCCTCTTAAGTACGCAGTTCGAGATCCTAGAGAAGGAACGCCAACTCGACTCTGGTACAGCTCTCATTGACGTCCGAGTCCATGTAGGAGAACGGATCGACCAGATTCCGGCGCGCTTCGAGATAGCCCGCTATAAAGCTGAAACGACAGGCCTTAACATCTCCAACTTCCAAATTGCAACAGTCATCTTATTCGGAGCCCTTTGGGTGGGGATCGCGCGCACAACCATTCCTGCAACCGCTAAACCACCGCATGCCGAGGGGCCAGCAACAGTTTGACTCTCCACTTGAATGCGTGAGTTCATATGCTCACATTGCTGAGAGGACCCCATGGCAGTATGGGTGGCATCTTCAGTCGCGGTCGCCGAACCGAGACCTTCCACGTTGAGGCAAACGCAGGGCAACCTGCTAATAACGTCTGGAATGGCGATCCACAGCCAACAGAGACCACCACACTACTGACTCAGAATGGTGGTTCGGTCTCGGGGTCGCAAGACCCCTGGGCCAGGTTTCGGGGGCCGCTCGACGCGGTGACCCCTGCGCAAACCACAGCCCTATCGGGCTCAGCGGGGCAACCTGCTGCGCCCGACTTCGACTCTGGGACCGACGCCGACGCGTCCTCGGACGACGAGGCCACCGCGCTAGACATTTCCGACATGCCCACGTATTTCGCGGAAGAACAACAGGCGCAATGGTTATTCTTAGGATGCCAGAAACATAACAAGCAGGCGGATGGGGATTTCAGCTTGCAAGGCGCGGCGCACTATCCGACGGGCACTCAGGGGAAAGGGCAAGGGCCGAGGCAAGGGTAAAGGTAAACGGCGGCGGCTCTTGGCATGTTCGCATTTCTAGTGCCCCTTACTGGACCTCAGCATGGCGATGTTCTGAGGTGCAGGCAGGCGCCGTAGGCATGCATCAGAAAAAGGTAGGGGGCGCCGGGGCAGTCCGAAGGATGCGGACGGCCAAACTATGGGGCGCGATATCTGCCATTACACTCGACATTTCCGCCGTGAATGGCCTCAGGGCGATGGGGGAGGCAGAGGTCCGTCTATGCATCTGGCTCAAACTGACTCGGACATGCAGTGCGTTGTCTGGGAGTCACTGTTGGCCGACCCTGCCGACATCTCAGTTGCAGCTCTTAACTTCACGGCTGCCATGCATTTGAGTGCCAATGCGCACCTCGAGAGTTTTGCCGACGAGCTGTTCGAGGAGATATTCATTGGCCACAATGAGATCGATCTGGCAGACTGGTTGGCATGCCCATCGCGGGGCAGCTTGCCGATATCGAGCGCGTCGAGAACTTCCGCGTGCCCGCCGAAGGAGATGGCGAGATGGCGGCGACGCCCGCGGATGCAGAAGCATTATTCCTGCAACAGAGGAGGGGATGCAATTGATGCTTCGTCCTTGGGTTATTGCCAATCCGACAAACATGGAATTGAGCGTTGATGACGTTCTGCGTGGAAGCCCGCGAGATGCTGGCGACCTGTCTGAGCGCGTCCGGTGCGAGCTCGGCCACGACGAAGGACTTCAAT